AAATAATGTTGCTTTTAACATAAAATATGGACTGTTTTTGATTCGTTAATGTGCTGGTTTAGATTCTGATCTGGGTGATGGAGAGCTGACTGTAAAGCTAAACTTGAAGGCTGAAAAGTTTTCAGCATCTGCAAAGGAAAAGCTTGAGGCTGCTGGTTGTTCTCTCATGCATGGATGATTATAGTTTCAGGTAAGTTTTTATTTAACTTTGATAGTTGAATTACACTTTGATTTGGTTGTTTAATTTGTAGTGTGAACCGAACAATATGTCGATTATAGTTTTTGTATGGATTATAGATGTGGAATGTGGATCATCCATAGCAACGTGGATTATAGTTTTTGTATGGATTATGTGTTTACTAAGATTATATATGTGGATAATATGTGTTTTCTGCAAAGTAATTTTTTTTAATTTATAGTTTTGAATTTTTCATTGAAAATCAAAGCATTTTAAATTTAATGATTCTCATTTGGACGGCCATAGATGGGAAGGGGAAAACCCTAACTGGATTTAATTTTGCATGTGGGTCTGTCCTAGGTTTTGATTGTAAATCGGTTGTGGGATTAGATGAATTTGATGTAATGGGTAAATGCTAAATGGGTCGGTTGTTTGGGTTTATTGGTTAAAGTATTGGGTCTGATGGGTTTAGGTTTTGTACATGGGTTGTATTGGGACATTTGAGCTCGGTTTTAAAAAAATGTTTCCGGTTTATGAAAACCCGAATTACCGAACCGAACCAAAAAATTCGGTTTCACATATTTCGGTTTTTTAAACATTCGGTTTCGGTTTAAATTTTAAAAAACTGTTTATTTATGTTCGGTTCAATTTTTAGTAAAAAACCGAACCAAACCAAACCAAACCGAACCGAATACACTCCTAAATAATGTCATGTGTTACTGGTGTCAAGTGTAATGACAAGTGTCATCATTCGATTGGATGATTAAATTTATTTTTAATTTAATATATTTTTCTCACCAATCAAAGGACAACATGTGTCACCCTCTAGAGGATTTTTTTTGAAACTTAAATGATACATGGAGGAATTGAACATGGGGTTGGGTAAGCAAGACTCAACCATTTAGTAGTTAATTGGTTCAAATTTGACTACATATTTTATTTATGTTTTATATTAATATAAACTTAAATTCTTACTATTTTATATATATTAACTTAAAGTAACATATTAAATTAATTTTACACCATAACATTAAAAGTATATTTTATTTTTGCACAAACCAACTTACATTAGTAGTTAAAAGAATTGTTGTTGTTCCTAGATGTCACAAGTTCGAGCACATGCGACTGTAGCAGGGTGATTGAATGTTAATTGTCGAATAGTTGAGAATATTCAAAACACATACTACTTTGTAATCACCTTAGCTTAATAATATATAAATATATATATATATATATATATATATATATATTTATTTATTAATTATTTTTATATTATCTTATTAAATATATTTTATTCTTGTCTTAACTTAAAAATATATTTTATTTTTAATTTTAAATTAAAAACATATTTTAAACTTTATCTTAATATAAAAATATATTTTATTTTTATCTTAACTTATTACATAAATTATATTCTTACCTTAAAGTATTAAATATAACTAATTCTTATTTAACTTAAAACATATCTTTCATTATTATCGTAACTTAAAAATATATTTCTATTTTAACTACAAAAATATATTTTACTTTTATCTTAACTACAAAAAATATATTATATTTTTTATCTTAAATTTAAAATATTATTATAATAAAATATAAATATTTAAGTTAATATAAGAATAAATTATTGTTTAAATTAAAATAAGAATAAAATATATTTTTAGGTTACAAAAATAATAAAATATATTTAATAAGTTAAGATAAAAATATTTTTTAATATTAAGATGTAAAATTAATTTAATATGTAAATTTAAGTTAAGATATATAAAACATTAAGAATTTAAATTTACACTAATATAAAACATATATAATCTATGTAGTCAAGTTTAGATCAAATAACTACTTTGGCTCAATGGTTAAGCATTGCTTCTTCAACATAGGAACCCCACGTTTGATTCCCTTATCCATCATTTAAGTGCCCAAAATTTTATTTCCTCGGGTGACACATGTCATTACACATGACACCATTTGATTTGAGGGTTAAGTTTATTTTAATTTATTAAATTTATGACGAAATTGATATAATATACAAGTAATAATGACCAAATGTGTAATCATACCAAATATTTTAACTGTCACATCCGTTTCTCCGTTAAATATTAACGACAAGTGGCTTAATCGAATGCATTTAAATAGTTGAGTGACTTGATTGAAAAATTTTTAAAATAGTAGTCAAAATTTTAACTAATTATTGTAAAAGCGCCATGTGAGGTAAGGCGCAACCCATGTACTGCTCCTTGTGAAACGTGTAAAAAATCAGATGCTAGTTTTGTAAATATTTTTAAAATCTAATATATAATTAATTTATATTAGGTTGATATTTATGTAAAGAAGCCAACTTTATTTATTTATTTTTTGTGTGTGAAAAAAAAATTCTACATTAAAATATTTAAATATTCTTTTGTAAATTATTTTATAACTCGATAAATTTTGATTTTTGCATGAAATTACACGATATGTATAATCTAGTATAGGAAAACTTTGAGGGTAAGTATTTTAAAATATGAATAATTTTATAAAAGTTTTATAACTAATATTTCTTTTACAAAATAATGATGATAATAAATATTTTATAATTTAAAAAATAATAAATTTCATATATTTTTGAAAAATTTATTGACTTTTAAAATTAATAGTTTAAAAATATAAAAAAATATTAAAATAAATTTTTAATTATAATTGAGGGATCAAATGAATTATTATTTATTATTTTTAACAATAATTAATAATGTTTATTCATTTTTAATAAAATTATTTTGATTTTTGCATGAAATTACACAATACGTGTAATCTAGTATAGGAAAACTTTGAGGGTAAATACTTTAAAATATTAATAATTTTATAAAAGTTTTATAACTAGTATTTCTTTTACAAAATGATGATGATAATAATAATAAATATTTTATAATTTAAAAAATTACAAATTTCATATATTTTTGATAAATTTATTGACTTTTAAAATTAATTGTTTAAAAATATTAAAATATTAAAATAAACTTTTAATTACAATTGAGGGATCAAATGAATTATTATTCATTAATTATTATTTTTTAACAACAATTAATAATATTTATTCATTTTTAATAAAATTAGAATTTAATATTTATTTTATATTTTTTAAAATTAATATTAAAAAAATGATCCCTCAATAAAGAGGTGATATTTTTTTAGCTTTACATTCTTTTTTTATTGAATTTTATTCACTTTTAATTCTTTTTTTATTACATTTTTATTAATTTTTAAAAAAAGTGAATAATAATTCATTTGATCTGTCAATTGTAATTAAAAGTTTATTTTTATATTTTTATATTTTTAAGCAATTAATTTTAAAAATCAATAAACATTATTAAATGTTGTTAAAAAATAATATCACAAAAAAAATAAAGTTGACTTTTTTATACAAATATCACCTTAACATAAATTAATTACATATTAGACATCATATTAAAAATATTTATAAAACTAGCACCTAATTTTTTACACGTTTTACAAATTGTCATCGGGAAATAAAAATGAAAGGATGTCGGAAAAAAAAGTTTGAAAAGGTAATATTTGGGGAAAATCGCCCTTTGTTACTAGTAGCTTCTTTTTCTTTTCTTTTCTTTTTGTCATGATTATTATATATATTTACATTATTTAGATTCACCCTTTCACGTATAGATGGATGCAAATTTAAACATGTTTAGATTTTCTTTCAAATATTATAATAATTATTAGGATAAAAAGTATGGCCAAATATTAAAGAGAAGTAAATCGCTTAAAATAATAAAAGATTTATTAAACGTTTAATAAAGAATAGAGAAAAACAATTTCATTTAAACTCAAGCGAAAATACCTTCCATTCTCTATATACGTCGTCTCTTGATAACTAGTGTAATGAGTTAAAAGTCTGGATCACTCGTATATATACATTTTGGTGATAAGGAGTTTTGACATATTGCTTTGTTGGTAACCACTGAGATGGAGATAGAAAGTAGATACCAATGGTTTTTTTAGTATATGTAGGGTATTTGATCCCTATCAATCGATTAATTTCGAATATTGCAGAGACAATGGTGACTCTCTCAACCCAATTTACTCCATTTGCAATCGTTAAAATTTAATTACATATTAGGCATCATATTAAAAATATTTATAAAACTAGCACCTAGTTTTTTACACGTTTTACAAATTGTCATCGGGAAATAAAAATGAAAGGATGTCTCATAGGAAAATAAAGTTTGAAAAGGTAATATTTGGGGAAAATCGCCCTTTGTTTCTAGTAGCTTCTTTTTCTTTTCTTTTCTTTTTGTCATGATTATTATATATATTTACATTATTTAGATTCACCCTTTCACGTATAGATGGATGCAAATTTAAACATGGTTAGATTTTCTTTCAAATATTATAATAATTATTAGGATAAAAAGTATGGCCAAATATTAAAGAGAAGTAAATCGCTTAAAATAATAAAAGATTTATTAAACATTTAATAAAGAATAGAGAAAAACAATTTCATTTAAACTCAAGCGAAAATACCTTCCATTCTCTATATACGTCGTCTCTTGATAACTAGTGTAATGAGTTAAAAGTCTGGATCACTCGTATATATACATTTTGGTGATAAGGAGTTTTGACATATTGCTTTGTTGGTAACCACTGAGATGGAGATAGAAAGTAGATACCAATGGTTTTTTTAGTATATGTAGGGTATTTGATCCCTATCAATCGATTAATTTCGAATATTGCAGAGACAATGGTGACTCTCTCAACCCAATTTACTCCATTTGCAATCGTTAAAATTTAAACTCCTAACCTTATTTAAAGGATTTAGTGTCTCATTCTACTGGGCCAATTGATTGTTAGGAGATACTAATGGGTTTTAAATTGTTATAATAATTACAGTCCTTCCATTAGGTAAACAAACTCTGGGACTGGGTAAACAAACTCTGGTTGCCAACTTTGCTTGCGAAGCAAAAGATAATAGTGTTGCCAACTTTAAAAACTAGCAGATAAACTTACATCATTCAATACCGAGTCTGCCAGTTTTAGGGCCATCACGACACCTGTGGTTATCGAGACTAACTGTAAGGTTCCTCACTCAAAGGATGCATGGCTTTCAAGCACTCCTTTACCCCTGTAAAGTTAAGCTTACATATCAGTGGTGACGATACAACTTATTGTTTTAGTGTTTGAACTTCAACCAGAACACATTCAACAAAGTAAAAGAAACAGATGCTTATGAATATAGAGTGGAAAAAGGAACAATTGAACTTAAAATTTATATTAAGAATCCACTTCCTGTTTGAAATGGCCATGAGAACTTTTAAGTGTCCTGGTGTATGCACCATTCCCATCTGTAGAAGTAATCACATGAGTGACATCTGGCTTCCAAAACTTGGATACAGTTGCACCAATCATGTTCGCAAACTTGATCAAAAGGAACTGCAACAAGGTAAAACAATAAATATATACAATAAGAGTACATTGTTGTTAAAATAAAAAGCCTATTCAAGGATATCTTATCAACGAAATAATCTCCATGTAAGATACTATGCGTCCATTTCCAACACCAAAAAGATCGATTAAAATAAATATATATCAGTTTCACCTTTCAACATGATAAAACATAAACAATTCAAAGATACAGTACTTAAAAAATAACTACTCAAAACTTATAAATGGGTCAAAACAAAAATAATAGGGTTTAGAAATAAGATAACCCATATACTAACCTTATTTAGCTCCCAACAACATTTTATTACTTGGATGTTATCAGGGTTAAGTCCCCCAAAGTCCAATGGCATAAGCTGATATGGTTCCCTCTTCACGTCCCCAAACACAATTTAATTACTTGGATGGTTTTCCTTGATAGGCTTCCAACAAAAGAAAGGTTACAACGCATGGGTCTCCTTAATGATTGTCATTGTGTTTTCTGTGGTGCTGCTATGGAAACTAGGAATCATCTCTTCTTCGAATGTCCTGCAACTAGTTCATTATGGACTGCTGTCTTCTCTCTTAATGGTTTGCAAAACAATCTGTTGTCATGGAATGATCTCCTTGCTTGGGCTGCTGCTAAATGGAAGGGTAAATCCCTTCTCACATACATTCTAAAGATTGCTTCCAATGCCCTTATCTACTCTCTTTGGGAGGAACGAAACAAAAGGATTTTTCAAGAACGTTCAAGAACCATTGAAGATTTGTTTCATGCAATTAAGGAAACAGTTGGTTTTCAATTAAGGGAAGAAACATTAATAGATTAGATCCCACTAATATCACTCTTTGTAACAATTGGGGTATTATTTGATTTCTGTAAATTTTGTAATTAGCATTCCTTGTAACCTGTAATTTGAACACTGATTTTGTAGCATTTCTTGCTCTTTGGGTAATATATGATTGAATTATCAAAAAAAAAAAACAAATAGAAGTAATTAAATGAAAATTACCTCGATCTGCAGATTGGTCTTTGCAAATAGGGCACTCTGAGCCAAACTCAGTTCTGGCTATGCACGTACTGTAACAATTTCAAAAACAAAAAAAAAAATGAAAAGAAAGCAATGAAAACAAAAAAATTTCAGAAGTGAAGATAAAGATAGAAGGAGAAATGGTACTAACTCGCAAAACAGATGGTCGCACGGTATCAACAATGATCGTTTAAACAAATTCAAACTGTCAAGATAACAATTTTTAATAATATCAACTTCAAAACCTCAAATTAAAAAAACAAAGAAAACACAGCACAATGAGAGAGAACAAACCAGAGAGGACATTTAAGCTCCAGACCCAGTTTTTGAAGATAAAGAGCCCAAGGATTCATAACTCTATTAACACTCTGCTTAGTTGAAAGATTCATTATTTGCTCAAAAGCAAAAATGAGGGGAAGTCGATAAATGAGAGACTTATAAGGAAAAAGAAAAGGGAGAAGAAGAAACGAGACATACCTTAGAAGACGACCGTCCGCCTCGCCGGTGAGAAGGATTCCAAACAGTCGTCGGTGTGGAGCAAGGACGGGAGAAAGAATTTACGGTGTTCTCTGTGTGGAGCAAGGGCTGCGAGAAAGTTTTGGATTTCGACTTACCCTTTTTCAAACGGTAAGTCGAAATACCGTGTTTAAACCAAAATTTTCTATTGACTGTAAAACGTTTTACGTTGACCTGAGATTTTTACGCGAACCAAACACCTGAAAATAGGGAAAACATTTTCCGTAAAATGTTTTCCCCTTTCCAAACAGACCATAGATAAAATCATGTGGAACGCATTCAACATCGGGTCAGAGCTTTCGCAGCCAGCCTGGCGAGCAGCCCCCCCCCCCCCCCCCCTTTGTCCCATCTTCCAGCAAACCTCTCTTGCAATGCGATAGAGTCAACTGCAGATTATGACCAAGGCAAGGCATTGCAAACCTCCCAATTTGATAAATAAAATAAATGAAGAGATCTCCTCTGACTCTAAAGTTTTAGTTATTTCAAAATTAATAAAATCTTATAATTTTCACAGACGAGTTAATACTCTACATTTTCAAATACGGAATATTGTCTTGCACCTCTATAATCATGCCTGAAAGAAGTATAATGTTGGTCGTCCATTTCGTAGAGAAAAGTGGGGGCATTCCCACATTATGCTTTCTTTCTCCAGACAAAACGTCCAAGAGACGAGTCAAAAATGGTTAAAAAAATAAAAACCAAATCAAATTTAATTAATATTATTTCTATAAATCAAAACGAGTGATGATTGAAATATAAACAAATTAAATAAAAAAATATTTATATATGAAGAAAAGGAATGACGTTGGACATGAAGTTGTATTTAATTTACCAGTAAATAAAAGAAAAATCAACAAGTCAGTCGTCGCAGAGGGCCCGTGATTTAGTCAACGCTTGGCTACTTGTTATATGATTTTTCGAGGAAAGCCAACGATGAAGGAAGATAAATATAAGCTACAGCGTCTCCAATTATATAAATACTTTGCTTATACCCTCGTTAAGATTCAGTTTTGGCATCTCGGACACACCAACACAATCTCTTTCTTCATTTGCTTGGAAGCCATGGCTGCTTTTCAAGAAGGTTTAAGCGAGGATGCTTTTGTACTTAACCCAGAAAAGGCAAGTTTGTTTGATCTGCTGAGCCTACTTTTGTCTCCTCAATTGGAAAACAGAAGATTCATAGATTGTCCTGGGAGTGGGAGCCAACATCAAAGCTTTCGGAAGCGATGGACCATCTTCGTGTCTGTTATTGTTCAGAAACTCCTCTTTTGGGCAACGAAGCCTATGGCCTTTATGGGGAATTCCATCGAGATGGGGCTTAATCTCTTATCTGCCAACGCTGATCCCTCTCATCTCCTACTAAATCTTGCAACAGGTAAACTAGTTGATCAATTTTATGACCTGACCTTTGTCTGTATTCTTTAAGAAATAATTTCGGTATAGCTTGTGAAAAATATCTAATCAAACTTGGATGAAGTTGAGCTTGTTTTTGTCGCTTAAAAGATAAAAAAAAAAAAACAACGATTCATAGACTCGGTTTTATGGTACAGGGAAATTAGAATGGCCAAAGAGATCATCGGCGACTTTTACATCGAGCATAGGAAGCACTGACGTCCGCACTGAATTAGATCAAAGCATTAAAGCTGGTGACCCAAAATACAAAGCATCACTGTCTGCAATGGCTTCCAAGATATCCTATGAGAATGAAGCCTTTGTTGAAACCATAGTCACCCAACTTTGGAAGGTAATGGTTTTATATGATTGGATTTCTTTAAATACAAAACTTATTGTTTCTTAAAAAAATAACAAACATCTTTATTATTATGGGTGGTGCAGATGAAATTCGTGAAGTTTTATAATTTCTGGAACGGTATGTATTTTTCCTTTTTCATTTTAGAATTATAAATTGTCATTGCACATTTAATTTCATCTGCTTTATAAAAAATATCTTATAAACTTGTATTGCAAGTAAATAATGATGTTATTTTAAGTCAATATCAACGATTTGAAATTTATAATGATGATATGATTAAAGAAAGCTATAAGTTACTGACTTTGAAACTCAGGGAGGAAAGTGAAAATTAGAAGCCAAAATATTTAACTTTCTGTATTTAAATTTACATCCTTTAATTTTCATTTAAATAAGTATTTATTTTTAATTAATATCCAAAATTATTTTTAAATAAAGAATTGTTTACTTACATATAAAATAATAGTAGTTATTTAAGTATAATAAAAGTATAAATATGTAATAAAAACCATTTTTCAGGAAAAACCATTTAAGTATAAGATGTTATGGCTTTGGCCTTTGAATAGGTCTTCTTCCGTTCCGGCCGTCTAAAGTCAATCAATAAAATAAAAATGAGAAAAAATATAGTGTAAAATCAACATGTTGGATAACTTGTTTTTATCCCCCTTTGTGTTGGGCGCTATATATTGATTAAAAATGCTGATCCTTGGTCATTTTGTTTCATGCAGATTGCAGGGAACGTGATTCGACCCAAGCGTTCATTCTCCAGGACACACAAGCAAACCCCAACCTGTTTGTGGTTGCATTTAGAGGTACAAGCCCATTCGACGCCGACGACTGGCGAACCGACGCCGATCTTTCCTGGTGCAAGCTTGAAGCCATGGATAACTCCAGGGCCCATAACGGTTTCATGCAAGCTCTCGGCTTGCAAAAGAACAAGGGTTGGCCTGAGGAAATCGAACAAGTCAACAATGGCGGACACCAATTTGCTTACTACACTCTTAGAGAAAAGCTTAGGGAAATTCTGCAAGAGAACGAAGAAGCGAAGTTTATACTGACCGGACATAGTTTGGGTGGGGCTTTAGCCATCTTGTTTCCTTCGGTGCTAATGTTACACAAGGAGAAATGGTTGTTGAACAGATTGGATGGGGTTTACACCTTTGGTCAACCAAGGGTCGGGGACGAGAAATTTGGGGAATATATGAAGGAGAACATGAGAAAATTTGATGTCAAATATTTCAGATATGTTTACTGCAATGACATGGTCCCTAGGGTTCCTTACGATGATAAAAACACCTTGTTTAAGCATTTTGGACCTTGCCTCTTCTTCAACAGCTTCTACGTTGGAAAGGTACGCCACAGCTTCTATGTTCGAACCTTATACTTTTAGAGAGAAATCTTATCACTGAGGTCACTTAATGTTTAATATTTGAATCGTCTTTATGCTTTCTATTTCGGCGGTGCAGGTTTTACCGGAGGAACCGAACAAGAATTACTTCTCTTTGCTATGGGTGATACCGAAGGTGGTGAACGCAATTTGGGAGCTTAATAGAGGCTTCATTTTGCCTTACATGTACGGTCCAAACTACAAGGAAGGTTGGTTTTTGAGATTGTTGAGGTTAACTGGGTTACTGATACCAGGATTGTCTGCTCATTCCCCTCAAGATTATGTCAACTCCACTCGATTGGGAACCTTGCCGGATAATCAACTACGTGTACACCAACTTACAAGAGATTGATGACATCAATGAAAACAGATAATTTATAATTTATTTCAACTCTTCAGTTCTATCAGTTGTAAGAAACAGTGCAAAAAGACACGATTGATAGCTCCGTTTCCATTTCCATGGCAAACAAACATACTGTGAAAGGGGAATAAAAATTAAGTATTAGTCTGACACCCGATTAGTTCATTATCCCTCGACTTAAATATGTACAACACTTTGAATTCACCATGGACCTGTCTGTGTTCGGCGCAAGCATCGCTTCTTTGCTCCTCGTTGCATTTTCATCATCTCACATTCCTGTGGTAATCAAACAATTTAAGTAAATATTTCAGAACATTCATATATACATAGTGTTCAATTAAGCAACAAATCAGAACATTCATGACAAATGGTTAATCATATACGTGGAGCTTCGAAGGAGTTTCATGCCATACCATACATCATAAAAACAGTATGATATGAGAGATCCATATCATACCAGTGAAAAGAAACTAGAATGACAACGTAATAGATTAAATCATGGTGAAGCTGACAGAAAAACCAGGGAACATGGTGTGGACGACGATGCTTAGGGTATCAAACAAAAAGAGACATCGAAAGAAAACTTATGAGCACCTGATTTTCTTGTAATTTCATCATTTGTGCCTGCAGCAACCAAGAACAGCCAATAATTAGTAATGCCAAGAACCGAATGCGCTGAAACAAAGGGAAAGAACATACATGTTTCTTCTGCAATTCTTCGTTTTCCTTGTTTAGCTTTGCAACTTCTGCTTCCAATTCCGTTGTATAAGCCTAGTTGAAAAGCAAAGAAAGCAAAATTGTAAGAAACATGAATTCCAGACGAACCACTGGATGAAATTGTTCTGATTTGCTAGAGTTAGTTCTTTATTATAAAATCTACAAGGTCAAGCGTGTTGACCAACACCAATGGTTTCATTGATTCTCTTGTGATGGAGCTTCAAAATGATCCATCACCTTGCAAGTTATAACAAAGATCCTTATAACTTGTCATGAACTCGACTTCTCAAAATTGTTAATCTCTTCTCATGTCAGATAGCTATCAATGGCTAGAAAAACTCATAAAGCCATAACAGGACCAAACTGAATTGGAATTATAACTTGAAGTTTAATAAAACCAAAGTTCAAAATCTGTGAGACATCTTGGCACCACAAATTAAACGCAATTTCTTAATGCGGAAGTCCCGTGCAGTCTAGTCTATTTCATAACCAACGGTTATGTGCAGAAAAATTCTCAGTTACAGGATCCAGAGTTGACATAGGCAGGAAACGTTATCAAAGGAACAGACTATAACAGTTTTGGATAATGCATATTCCAAATTATATGCCTTACTCTAAGATGTACTAATGAGCTATAAAGATGGAAACATTAGATGAAATCAAGAACATATTGACCTGCTTTCGAGCTCGTGATCTTGCAGCGGATTCTCGGTTCTTAATCATTCTTCTCTGCCTCCTCTCAGCAACCTTTTCCACGGTAGTGGATTTCCTACCCCTCAAACTTCCGTTAAACACATAAGGAACAGGTGAAACAGAGGAAGTGTCTCCACTACTCTTCCCAATCCCATCTGATGAAAGCTGGTGGTTAGCAGGTGATCCAGTGGCTACACCAACTGCCCCTCCTAAACCTATCCCTCCACCACCACCCTGGACAAGACCATTAATTAGTCCCTGACCACCACTTTGCAAAGGCATCTGACTTCCATATTCCAAACCATATTGCTTAGGAAAAATCGGTTGCCTCTGCCGTTGTTGCTGATGAGTTTGCTGATTAGGTAACTGCTGCTGGTTTGATCCAACTCCGTTCAAAGCCAAATTGGAAGGTTGAATACCAATTTGATTACCATCATTAGGAAGCCAATTCCCAATCAAATTCAGACCTCTTCCACCTTGTTGAAACCCAATTCCAAACCCAGCATTACTCCCCGCTTGACGTAATTCCCCAAAGAAGCCGCCATTAACGTTATTAAGCTTCCCGGACAATTGGGTATTATCCTCTATAACCACACCAGCCCTCACCAAAAACTCCTCCAGTGTAACCTCCCCAAGAGTTTGCTGTCTCTGTGGCATATTATCAGCCACTCCAGTTCCAATCTTCCCGTCTTTCCCTACAGAGAACTCCTTTGACATATCTTTCCAAACTTGATCCACAGTTTTTTGGCTAAGCGTCCTTGGCAAAGTCAAAGACCCTTGCTTTTGTAACCCGCCATTTGCCTCCAGGCCTACGCTGGAAGAAGCCATTGTTTGAGTTTCTTCAGCGCTCCAAATGTTCTTCAACAACTCATCCATGTTCATTGACCCGAAATCCTTGCCTATTCCACCCATTGTGCTTTGGAACTCATCAAAGGTCAGAGAATAGATTGATGGCTGTCTACTTATTAGATAATTCCTGGGAGGCTTATTATCGCCTCCACCGCCGCCGGCGTCAGCTGACGGCGGCTGGTTACTTCCAAAGTTCTTGAAGCTCATGTTTGTCCCCCAATAAAATCTGGGTAGAGTAGTGTAAACAAAATGGGATCAAGTCAAGATATACATATTAGGAAACTTTACAAATACAGTTGAACAAAGTAAATAAGAAAACTCCTATATAATTATATTAGGAAACATTTTCTATATATGGGATGTTCACGTTTCAACAAAACTAAACAATCAAGATCATATAAAAACAACTATCTAATCCTTACCGGTTTTAACTAAGAAAGATCACCAAAATCAACCTTTTTTCCCCTTTTCGTCAAGTGCTGGTAAAATCTAACATTTTCATGTATCTAAACAAAATCTCTGCTTTCAACAATAAGCAAGTTGGAATTTGAACCCCCAAAAATACCACAAAGTTTAAGATCTTAATAGAAACATAAGCTTTTTCTTAACGTACGAAATAATTGAAAGAAAACATAAAAGATTCGAACCCAAAATAGATAAATCATAATTAGGACAAATTAGTTGATTAAATAAAAGCTAGGGTAAACTAATAAAAAATAGTCTTTAAACTTTTATGGATCTTGCATTTTGGTCATTAAACTTTTAAAAGTTACAATACAATCATTAGACTTTTAATTTGGTTTCATTACGTTAATTGTCGTCTGTTGTCGGTAAGAAAAATTGATGTGACGCATTAAAGAGTCTTCTTCATCGTATTACCCATGTCCATTTCTCCCGTTCCCATCGATGATACTATTCATCTTCTTCATCATTGAATAGTTCTCGGATCACTGACACGTTCTTCCATAGTTATTGCCATTAAACAATCCGATTGTAGTTACAATATATGAAAATGATTTTGTTTCTTTGCATTCTAAATAGTTCTCGGATAATCCAAGCACTATTTTAATGATGAATAAGATATTATTTTATGGAACTGGATAAATTAAGGAGGATAATGTGATGAAGAAGATGAATAATGTTGGAATAGACTTTAATGTGTCAGATCAATTTTTCTTAACATTAATTGATGATAGTGACTGTCTGTAATTAAAGTTATTTAAAAATTTAAATGATTGTATTACGTTTTAAAAATTGGTAACCAAAATACAAGTAATATAGAGGCCCAGTGACTATTTTTATAGTTTACCCTAAAAATAAATATATTTTTAAATCTGAAGGGAGCCTAGGAATTAAAGACTTAAAAACATGAAATAAAGTTTCCATGGTTTTCCTCGTCAAAAAAATTCTGGCTGGTGAAGGGTTGTTATGGGTGGCTTGGATAAATAACTATGTACTCAAGGGCAATGATTTTTGGAGTATTGATATTTGTTCCTCTTTCAGTTGGAGCCTAAGGCGTATCTTCAAGCTTCGAGCTATGACTTATCCCATCCTTATTGCTGGAAAGATAAAAGTTACTGATATTTGGGATGCTTTTCGCGATAAAAGACCTAATGTTCCATGGCAAAAAATTATTTGGTTTCCCCTTCACATTCTTAAATTTAGTCTTATTACTTGGATGACTTTACTTGACCGTCTTCCAACTAGAGATAAACTCTATCATATGGGACTTATTAGTGACCGAAAATGCCTCCTTTATGATGATCCTTGTGAAACAAGAGAACATTTATTCTTCTCTTGTCATATGGTTAACCAGCTTTAGACTGTTGTTTTCTCCTCCTCTGGCCTGCAATTCAACATTTGTTCTTGGGATGATCTTATTTTGTGGGCAAACACTAAATGAAAAGGAAAATCCCTTCCTACTTTGATCATGAAAATTGCTCTAACAACTCTTACCTATACTCTTTGAGATGAATGCAATAAACGCTTGTTTCAAGCTTGATCCAAGAATTTTCAGGATCTTTTCCTTATCGTGAAGGATATTGTTAGAATCCAATTAAGTGATAGAAATATCAATAGGAATGATAGTGTTAATATTTCTCTATATGTTCATTGGGGTATAGAATGATCTGATTCTTTTTGTATAGGCTGATCATGGTTTATGTTTTCTATTGCTTTCTTTTGTAATCTGATTCTGTTCTTGGATATATAAATAACGATTTATCCAACAAAAAAAAATATATATTTTTAATAAACGGGAATACTTTTTCTTATTTTTCATTTCTGGTTCTTGGCTACAGCCAATGGTCCCTTCGTCTTTTTCACTTTCTTCTTTTAAGACAAATATTTTTTTAAATAATATTTAGTTGGCCAGATTGATCCCTCCACGTGGGCAAATTGGAAAAGAGCGGGAATTATGATGTGAGATCTGACCATTGAGCAATAGGAAATTGGGATAATCTAGACTGTCCACGTTTCAGAAGGTGACGGTGGTTATGGTCTGAATATTTTGGATGTAGTGGGCATTGTTTTTAGTTGGACTTGGATAGTGACAATAATAAATGCTAAAGCATGAACGGAGCACGCCTACATAAAAGCTAAAGCATCAGTTGAACTACTATTGGTTAAAATTTATGCTCTGTCGTATTTCCAATTTATGAATTTTCAGCTTTAGTTCCATTAAGTTTATTTTATAAATTTTGATTGTGTTATTGATCTTAAGTTTGATTTAATATGAAAAAATAATCAGATTATTGTTGTTTTTGGTTTTAAATTTCGACTTAATATTTGAAGAAAATTAAGTTTTTATCTGAATTATAGACGTTCTCTTATTTTAAAGGGTCACTAATATTATTATAATTTTTTTTATCTTTTATATATTTTTTCAATAAAATTAATAAAAATTGTTAGTTGAGTTTCGGAAAAAGGCATACATTTAAATGTAAAAGCTTTTATTACATAAAAACAAAGTGTAAAAAATATATAGTAGTAGAATCCTTGAAAGGTTCCAGTGATTAAAGGAATTATATTTTCTATTGATCGCTTAAGTTTAAGCGCAGTAGTTTATATGCGTGTGCGTGTAGACAAGCTTAAGTTGATCAACTTGAAGTAGTTTGATACAATCTAGACATGCTAAATGGGTGAAATAAGTAGTTTGATATAAGATGTTAATAATAAGATTTAAATGGGTGTTACAAGAGAGTGGGGGTTGAGTGTGCTGAAGGAAATGGAATGATAATGGTATACCAAAAGACAAAATGAAGCATCATTTTCGTTGCGTGAGCTGAATTATTTGGGTTGGGGGGGGGGGGTGATGGTGGTAACGCGTGGCTCAGCCGGTGGCGTGGCTTCCCAACAGTATATGCTGAACACTGGATCGCCTCAAATCCACTTATGGGATTCAATTTCCAAGGACCAAACGAATTGCGACATCTCATTCCTCATGTGAATCCAACACCCAATGTACATTATATATCTGATAACAAATATTACAATATGTAAATGCAAATGCCACGTGCAGATTGCAGAGCCTACCATAATGTCATCGAAAGTAGCAGGAACCCAGACAAAACTAGACAATATCACATGAGAAGGTACACAAATACAAAACCGTTGGGTAACTGAAACAACACTGAAGGTTTTTTTTTTGTCGGAATTCTGGTTGATTACTTTATCTCTTCTAGCAAGATGAGATGAAAATGAAGTCTTTGTTTCTCTAATTTAGATAGATTCATATCGTATATTTAATATTGGAAGGTGAATTTTCTAATAAAAATTTTCTACATATACAATAATTCATACTCAATACCTTACTTAAATAATATCAAGCTGCTTATCACTTGAACTAACCCTGCTACAATAATTGGTGTTCAAACTTATAATCTCTAAGAACATAAACGATTTCTTTAACCACTGATATAAGTTGGTTCGTAATTGAATTTTTAAGTTTTTAAATTAAACAAATTAACAGAAAATAACAAATCCATAATACTGATATAAATTATTTTATTTCTTTTATCAGTTTATTTATATTTTTTTTGATATTTTATGCAATTGATAAAGACTTGCAAATTGGTGGAATCAAATTTTGAAACGTGGACTGGCATTGAATACTCTGCTTATTTTAATTACTTTACTTTCAAGGCAACTGACATCAGTCTCTTATTTCATTAATTGACAGACTATTGACACTTTCTAATAAAGGGAATATCGACTTTGACTTTAACAATAAAAACGGTATACATTAAACGACACGTCATGTTAAATATTGATACAATATTTGATATTTAAAACTAGAATTTTCTATTATTCTTTTTAAATTATTCATATTCAATACATATTTAAATATAAATATTATTGTTTTATTTTAAATAAATAATTTAATATTGGATTATTGTATTAAATTTGTTACCTTCATAATATAAATTAAAATAATTTATATAAAATGTATTTTTATTAATTTTTAAAATAATAAAAATAGTTAATTTTATTAAGGATAAATTATACGAATAGAAGAAGAAGAAGAGTGATAATAGATTTTTTTTAATTTTTAAATTGCTAACTCATACTTTAACAAGAGTTAACGGTTTTAATTTTTTAATTGTAAACTCATACTTCAACAGGAGTTAACGGTCGAGAGATCAAAACTGAATGAACCGATAACGTAATGGATCAAACGCACTTAATTTTTGAACCAACGACCAAAGTCGGTAAGAATGAAAATAAATAAGACCATTCATATAGTTTACCCTTTTATTAAATAAACCATTTAGTTTTGGTTCTCAGTTATTTTTCTTAGCCTCTGTTTGACACTAAGATGAAGAAAAATCAAGAGAGTTTTGTGTGATAAATCGTTTTAACCATTCAAGCAATGTCCCTAAATCATGAAAAATGTTAAGAGGGTGAACGTCATGAAAACAATTTCGTTTCGTTGAGAATTCCATTAAAAGCTTTGAAAATAGTTGGAAGTGGAAAGATGAAACCAAATAGATGGAAGGGATTGATAGGTGCTTCTAGATCCCTTTGGTTGACTGATCAACAAAGACAATCAACCCTCTAAGATAATTTTTTATTATCAAATCGTTAAGAAATTACTAATACCGAGTAGAACTACTAACTAATGTTCTGTCTAAACATAATCTCCTAGTAACTTACCATGTGCCACAGATTCTATTAAATGTTTTAATAAATAAAAGAGATATTAATAAATAAAATTATAAAAAATAACTCGCTTTATTTGGTCTACAAGAACAAACATTCAACCATGTAAATTAAATCAATGTGAAGTCAATGGAATGACCAAGAGAGGAGTGAATTGGTAATTAGAAAAATGATGAAAACTTTTTGTAATAATATTACATTTTTATAATAAATAATATTATTTATTGTATTTGATATTTGTAATAAATAATTACTAAAAGATTTACCAATTAGTGAAAAATGATTTAGGCAACATCTTCCAAAAACCCTAAAATATTTTATTTTATAAGTAACTCATTTTAGGAAAAATATTTTGAGTGAAACAAAAGACCTGTGTTGATGTAAAATTTCATGCCTTATTGGAGGTGAAATGAATGTAGCTCTTTTGCTTCTCTCACTTAACTAAGCGACTGCAACTGAGCAGCCACGGAAGACCACA